TTAGGGGGGTTGAGGGTTTAGGGTGGTTTAGGGTGTAGGGTTTAGGGGGGTTTAGGGTTTAGGGTTTAGGGGGCTTAGGGTTTGGGGTTTAGAGTTTAGGGGGGTTTTAAGTTAGGGTCTAGGGAGTTGAAGGATTGAACTTAGCCTCACGCAGAGGTTGGCAAGCTTAGTCCTTTAAGCTAGTCTCTGGGTTTATGCTGTTTACATACAGTGTATAAGGGCTGCTCGGTCCTTCGACGCCGAACCCGAAATTAAAACCTTGCGGGATGACCAAAAGCTATCTGAGGGAACGGCTCGCCCCGAAATACAGGTAGTGATGGGCTAGGGTCTAGGCTAAATCGAGCTCAGCAGTTGGACAATGCGCCGAACCCAAACATGGCGACACTGAAGCGTCTCCGCATAGGCCCTATAGTAGTTCCTTTTCGGGATTACCTTACAGGATTCTAAATATGAGCCCCACAAAGGATCTACCATGGGGCCAATGGGTACTGACCGACTGTTGAGGACTTTCCGCTGCAGCGTCACCCAAGACAACAATTTGAAACAGGCTGAGCTTTGTCAGTGTAGACGACCGTGTTGTTGCATGTTGAAACGGGAAATACCGAGAACTCATGTACCGCATCGAATCGCCTCGACACACGGCACTTGCACTGTCTAGTCTGTGTTGTCCAGCACTTCTCAGCGAGAGCCACTAGTTGTGGAATCAGTATTCGTTTTCGGACCGCAAGAAGTGGAGTGAGTCTTCTGCGCAGACTGCTTGTCGCGGGCGGGCATGCCCAGTTGGAAGTCATGGTTGGGGGCTCATCTTTCGCTGATCAGTTTTCCTGATGGGATGTTGGGCAACCAATTGCGACTGCATGCAAACCCTGCCAGCTTGGATTAACCAATGTCATGTGATTCCAAGTGCAAAGAAGCCGGTACGCACAAAAGGGGACCTCTTGGAGCCTGATGGGCCGTTTATGGTAATAGTAGCAGTAGTAGTCGTCGTCGTTGTCGTAGTAGTCATAGTAGTAGTAGTAGTAGTAGTAGTAGTAGTACTAGTAGTAGTAGTAGTAGTAGTAGTAGTAGTGGCAGCAGTAGCCGTAGCAGTAACAGCAGCCGTAGCAGCAAGCGGCAGCAGGGGTCCGGGGTAGCGATAGTAGGAGCAGGAGTAGAAGTAGAGGTTGAAGAAGAAGTAGAAGTTAGCAGCAGTAGTAGTCGTAGTAGTCGTAGTAGTGGTAGTAGTCGTAGTAGTAGTAGTAGTAGTAGCAGAAGCAGCAGCAGCAGTAGTACCACTCGTAGTACTAGTTGTAGTGTGGTAGTAGTAGTAGTAGTAGTAGTAGTAGTAGTAGTAGCAGAAGCAGCAGTAGTACCACTCGTAGTACTAGTTGTAGTGTGGTAGTAGTAGTAATGGTAGTAGTAGTAGTAGTAGTAGTAGTAGTGCTAGTAGTAGTAGTAGTAGTAGTAGTAGTATTAGTAGTAGTTGGAGTGGGAGTGGGAGTAGGTGTAGTAGTCGTAGGTAGTGGTAGTGGCTGGTAGTTGTCGTAGTAGTAGTAGTAGTAGTAGTAGTAGTAGTAAGACCAGCAGCAAGGGTAGCCGGAGTAGAAATATAAGTAGAAGTAGAAGTTAGCAGTAGTAGCAGTCGTAGTAGTAGTAGTAGTAGTAGTAGAAGTAGAAGTAGAAGTAGAAGTAGACGTAGACTAGAAGTAGCGGCAGACTGGGGTAGGCGAAGCCGTAGGCGTCGTCATCGTCGTATTTAGCTGTAACATCACATCAAAATTTTAACGTGGTGCAAGAAGCATTGTTCAGACGGTTGCAAGAAAGCGAACAGCTGGGTCGGTCAGCTTCCAGCGTGGTTTGCTGCTAAACTCCGGGCATGTTACCTGTTCAGAACCCGATGCAACCTGCGTAAATAAATTCAGCGCGGCACAGGTTCTCATCGTTCTAAATTAGGGTCCCTGTGTAGCTCTCAAAAAAGCAGCTCCCGTATAACAAGAGCCGTAATATGGGCCCTAATTTAGAGAACTAATATATGTATATATGTATATACATATATCTATGTGTTTTTATGAGCATGCAGCGTGCATATCCGTGTGTATAGGCAGCTTCGGGTCCTTCCAAAAAATATAACGCTCATGGCGGCGCACCAAACTCACGAAATTATGCAAGCCTTGTCGGTGTCGTGCATGAAGTTTCAGTGGATGACGAATCACGATTGTTGCATTGCTTCTGAGTTCAAGAATCGAGCATGACCTAGTTGCAACCGCACTCAGGTGGCTCGAGCTCATAGAACGTGTCCATGCTGGCAGAGGCCGGACGCATTGGCCGAGGTTTCCGTCTGGAAAATAAGTTCTCCAAGCAGCAAAGGCGAAGCATCATGCACCGTCTCACGTGTAGAGATCTGGAAGATGCAGATTGTGTGAGCAGTCGAATCAAACCATCTCGTCGGCCAGGCGAACGCGATGCCACATTGTGGCCTGTGGATGCGAATGCGTTTCAGGAAGACCAGGCACGCTCCTGATCTATTTGCGGTGTTTGCTTCGTTCTGTATACATCCAGCATCCTACGCCCAAAAAGGTTTCATCGCTGTTTGTCGCCTGGCCTCTCTGACCAAACACTGTCCGAGTATCGAATAGTGGTACGCCGCAATGTGTGCGCAAAAGGACGCAGTGTCTGCTCTTGCAGTTTCGTGCTACAAAACTGTTAAGAGCAATCCGTCGCGGTGCAATTACTGCAGTTCTTCCTTCCCTCGCGGGCGCACGCAGTGTGCGAAAATACAGTCACGTGGAGAACCTGAACACACATGCGAGAATTGCGGCCGGTTGAATATTCAAGCTCGAGTACTTTGTTGCATGTTGGCTTTGAGTTCTGGGTTGGATGAACGAGGTTGTTGCGTCTTGTCTTTGGGGCATATAAGCCGGTGCATGCATTTTACGGTTGTATTGTTGGCAAGCTTCGTCAGGTAATCGGAAATTGTGAGGAGCGAGTCGCTGCATCCATGGCCACCCGGCCTGCATTTGCTGCTGTAAATTGTAGATGCTTTGCTTTTACCGTGAGCATGTTGGGAGTTGAAGAAAATTGAGATGCTTTATTTAGGGTTCCTTATACTAAGGATGCTAGTGCTTAGACTCCCCTATTAGGGTAGATTACTTTCTCAAATTCCTAAGTTGTGCATCTTCGGGATCAATGTGGCATGTGCCATTCATCCATGTTTGTTTCCAAGCAAGCATGACAGCAAGCAAGCGAGCAAGCAAGCAAGCGAGTAAGCAACATAGCAAGTGACATAGCAAGCAGGCAATATGCATGCGTGTATGTATGCATGCATGTATGCATGTATGCATGTATGCATGTATGCATGTATGCATGTATGTGTGTGTGTGTACGTATGCATGCATGCATGTAAGCATGTCTGTAGGTATGTATGCATACATGTATGTATGTATGTATGTATGTATGTATGTATGTATGTATATATGTATGTATGTACGTGTACATACATGCATGCACACACACACACACACGCACACGCACACGCACACACACACACATATATATATATATATGTACATATACGTACATCCTGATGAACAGAGACATATGCTCTTCTGCGTACAGAAGTTGACATAGCCACATAGCTGATAAACACTAGTACTTTGTACGAAAACCTCAGTTTTTCTTCGCAAAGCCTTTCCATGCAGGCTGTAGTTCACCCCGAAACCATCTACTTTACAGCAAATAGGCTCCGACTGTGATGAGAAAATTACAGAGGTCCACCGCGAGGGTGGAGAGTGATGAAAGACGCGTGTCTTCCACCTCCAAACAAGCCGCTCCATGGACGCGTTACATAAAACCTAATTCGACCTCAAATTACATTCAGAAGTACAAAGCGTGCGTCCTTGGCATGCACCCCTAAATCCAACCCTCAATCCGGAACCTCCAGACCACCAAATCCGAAAACTCTCAACCCTTAAATCGTAAACCCTGAAAGCCGTTGCCCTAACCCAAAATTTAGTTCGCCCGGCTTTCCCCCTAAACCCTAAACCCAGTAACAGCAAGAGCTGTAGCCTTTAGGAATCTTGGAGCTGGCAGTGGACCGCATCACCGTTTCAGGCAGAGCGTAACGGGGGGGGGTTAGGGTTTAGGGCTTAGGGTTTTGTGGTTTAGGGTTTGGGATGGTACAGTGCTGTGGGTCTTTATAGTGCTAATGTATGGTTGAGGAACCTGACTGAGAAACCCCGCCTGGATTTCTAAAGATTCCTTTGACGGTTCTATGAGGATTTTATCAGGATCTCGCAGGGTCTAGGGTCTCCTCTCTTTGTTTCAGGTGGATCCATGCACCTCTGCAGTACATGCATTGGCCTCAAAGCGATTCCTTTCCAAGTTCTTCAAGGTCAGGGCTAAGATTGTTATCTTAGTCCCCCACTACCCAAGCTTTAAACTTTTTTGGGTTCTTATACATTAGTAGTAATCTGAAAAGTTCACCTTTTATTTCCCTGGCTTATTGGGGAAGCAAGTTATGGACAGATGGGTACCTAGGGTTGTTACCGCGAGCTTGGTACGTACTCTCCAGGGGATACAGAACCAGGCGTTGTTTCATCAGGTTTCTGCACTCAATCGATTTTGTAGTGGCGGTCCCAAATTAGGGGATCTACTTTTTAGATTCTCCCGGGGGTCTGGGTTAGGGTTGGCCCCTAAGTATCTGTGCATTACCCAAGAGGCCATCGAATCTATGCACAGCTGTCAGCTTTGAACTGGACTTGCTCTGACAACATACTTGCACGGATCTGCTGCATGTCTTGTAGCTGATTTCAACAAATGTGCAATCTTGCTGTTTGCACGAATGTGCGGCAATTCTCATGGATGTGCAGCTGATTGGCACTGCAATGCTGTCACATCGGATCGTGTTATGTGGTGATTGTTTGGAAACCCTGCTGCTTAGTCCTATATTGGGTACTGCCCCCACTCAGTAACAGTCGGATAATATTTATATTATGGATATATTAGGCCCTGAGTAGTAGCCCTATTATAGACTGTTAGTGTATGGGGGCAGTACCCAAGTCCTAATCTCAAGGCTGCACACACACAGAGGCCGAGCTGTAAGACTTCAGGGCAGTTCATCCTCCATCAACGGCAGCCAAAGCAAGCGCCCCCGAGCCCTAAACCCTGAACCCTAAACCATAAAACCCTAAGCCATAAACCCTAAAGCCTAAAGCCTCCTACCTGAACCCTAAACCATAAACCCTAAACCCTGAACCCTATACCATAAACCCTAAACCCGAAAGCCTCCATATCCCATGATGCAGGTGCATGGCAAGGCTCTTGCGGCGCCCTCCTCTGCAGAGGCCTGGGAGGGGAGGGAATTTGGGCTTACAGGGTTTAGGATTTAGGGTTTAGGATTTAGGGCTTAGAGTCTAGTATTTGGGGTTTAGGATTTAGGGTTTAGGATTTAGGGTTTGGAGTTTAGTATTTGGAGTTTAGGATTTAGGGTTTGGTGTTTAGAGTTTATGAAGTTTATGCTTTCCTGCCGGAATCAAGAGAGCCTGGATTCTTCGGATCCGCGCTGCATCGAGGTTGAAACTCAGCTAGCTGTCGTGCCAGACGGCTGTCAAGCCCATGTCTTCCCCTTACCCTCAAAGGACTCGTATTTTAAGGCTTATGGGCCCAAAGACCCTGTTATATCAGGCTTTTGGGCTATTTTGATGCTAAGGGTTATAGGATCGTGGTCACATGAATACCATCTTCAGAACTCACCATCAACAGGGTTTAGGGCTGTGGGTTTATTCTTCAAGTCATGGAAGTTATTGCAAGCCCGAAGTCTCCGTACTAGAGAGCTTTTTGTCTGGGCCAGACCAGGTACGGAGCTAGAATCAAGATACTGCCCAACTCCTTGGAAAAACAACCCCTGAATGAAACTCCATATCCCTACATTATATACTATCATCCCGAACCTTAAGCCCCAAACCTTAAAAAACCCCAAACCCTAACACCCTACACCCTAAACCTGAAAACCTAAACCTTAACCCCTATAAACCTTAAACCCTAAACCCTACACCCTAAACCTTAAACACTAAACCATAAGCATTAGAACCTGAAAACCTTGAAATCTCAGGCCATCTCTCAAGCTTTGTGCCGTCTCTCCGATGCAGAAGTGCTGCCTCTTGGCTCCCCCATCCGGCTTTAGGGCTTTAGGGTTTAGGGCCTTAGGGCTTTAGGCTTTAGGGTTTAGGGCTTTAGGGCTTTAGGGTTGAGGATTTAAGGCTTTAGGGTTTAGGGGCGTTTGTTGGGGTTTATAGGGGTTCATGGGGTGTAGTTTTTTGTTGTTAGGGTTTCGCGTGCATTGCGGTTCTCGGGCATTGCAGGGTTTAGAGGGTTTTCATCAGGAGTTCATAGGGCTCTGTTCGGCTCACATGCTGGGGTTTCTGAAAACTTAGGATCCGCTTGGGCCATCTATCATGAGGGTTGAGTATAGTAACTAATCGTATCCCATTGCCATGTAGTTGAAGCAAAATATACTCCGCAACCTTGCTCACATGACAAAGGGCTCCTACCTTGCACCTACACCTTCGAGCCCAGAGGACTTCTGCCTTCTGCCAAGATGGGAGTTTAGTTCAGGGTTTGGGGTTTAGGGTTTAGGGTTCAGGGTTTAGGGTTTAGGGTTTAGGGGTTTAGGGTTTACAGACGATGCGTGTTAGTCGCGTACAGGGTCTTTGTTCAGGAACGTGCTTGAACATACCATCAGAGAGATCAGTCAAAAATAGGGCTCCTGTCTTCCTGTGGCCCAGAAGACCTACCTTCTTGAGGAACTATATATATATATATATATAGATTTATATAGAAGCCATAAGAAGAAGCCCTACAAAGGTAGCTCTTTTCGGCTCCTGTCTGTGTTTCTGGTAACTTCAAGCCTAAACCCGAAACTTTAAAGGTAACTCAAAGAACAAGCCAACAGTAGCCGGGCCGACCCTGCAACTCCCAAACAGCCCAATAGCCGTACTATAAAAAGCCCAAATAATTACCAATACTATTTTGGGGGAGGGGGGGGGTTCCTTATTATAGTTATAGTAGAATATTCCCCAAGACCTTATTCTAATTATTAACGCTTCTACAGTAACATATGAAACCTTGAGCCCTGAACTCTAAGGTTCAGGGTGTTGGGTTTTGGGCTTGAGGGCTTTAGAGTTTTGGGCTTTAGGGTCTAGGGTTTAGGGCTTAGGCCTCAGGGTTTAGGGCTTGGGGCTCAGGGTTTAGGGCTTATTGGGTTGAGGGCTTAGGGCTTGTTTAAGGTTTAGGGTTGAGGCGCCATTTGGCCACAAGCTCGCCTTGGTATGGTGCTCTAAGATGGGTGATCCTTCTTGCCCGTCCTTCCGTGCAGTCCTCTCTTCACTGACTTCTGCTACTGCATCTATGGTGCTACATTTCTGTGGATCTTCCGCCAAAATGTCATGAGTTTTGCGGGTTTCGATTGGGAGTCGTCTGAACCCTAAACCCTAAACCCTGAACCCTGAACCCTAAACCCTAAACCAGTGTTTCCCCAAACCGGCAGCTGAAGGTTCATCAGTGGCACTTCGTCTGGCTACAAGTGTTCTGGCAGCCTTGGGACACCCTAAACCCTAAACCGTAGCACTCATGGCCTCAGAAAGGCAGAGGACTAGCAAGTTCAGGGTTGAGGGTTCAGGGGGCTTAGGGTTTATGGGTTTAGGGTTCAGGGTTTAGGGGGTTTAGGGGTGTAGGGTTTAGGGTTTAGGGTTTAGGGTTTAGGGGGTTTAGAGGTTTAGGGTTCAAGGTTTAGGGTTTAGGGGGTTTAGAGGTTTAGGGTTCAGGGTTTAGGGGGTTTAGAGGTTT